CGATCGCAATACTTTCCTTAATAAGTAGCGGTAGGAGAGTCAAATTATAAATTATTGTACTGTTCTGATTGATTTTGAACAACTACTTAAATTTCTCAATGGTTTACTTTTGTAAGTATTTTTTCATTCTTTTAATTATTCTTGGATATCTTTAGAAGTAGATTATTATTTATATATATATTTTTATATTTATATAGACCCGTAGGTAGAAAAATATTTAGGACTCCTGCTTTGGGAGTATTGATGGTATTGGATTTGAGATTAGATTGGTTTGGCGGTATCAGATTTTTGTTATGAACTCTGCTTAGAGTTTTGGTGTAGGAGAGTTGAAGTGGATGGAATCTAATAGAACTTTCCTGTCGACTCTATATTGTATGAAGTTTTCGGGCTAGTCTCTTGTCCAGGTGTACCCGTAGGCGGCGGATGACATCGCCTGGGATTAACGGAACATTACGGATACCGTAGTGTATAATGTACACGAGGAAGGACGTAGGATACTGATCGATATAAGTGAACTATCGATACTTTCCCATCGATTCCAACTACTTTTGGTATCTATAAATCTGATTCAATTATCTGGAATGATATCGAGGAGTCGTAGTTTAAAAAAAAAAATTGAAATAATTTTTATTCCATCTCCAAATTTTTTCCTAGGACTGAATTTTTTTAGGAACATTAATATATTTGAATATTAAAACTACCTTATTTAATATTAGGAAAAGTTTTGCTCCTTTTAGATTTTCATATTTTTTCGACATATTTTGTTACTCATTTTACTGTTTTTACTGCATAAAAATCTCAGTTCTGATTATGAGTAAATAAAATATTTATACTAGTTGAAGTTGTTTATACTAGTTGAGGTAACCACAAACGTTATTACAATTATAATTAATATCCTTATAATATCTTGTAATTAGACTAGAAATATTTTATTCTTGAACTCTTTCACTGCCGATCACAGGCGGAAGGAAGGAAATTTTTATCCTGTAGTCTCTTCCTTAATATATATTTTTTTAATTGGTATATATTTGTTTCTGTTAGTAATCTCAGATAAAATAAGGGGGAGTTGGCCGAGCTGGCTAAAGCGTATGTACAGCACCGCGCGTTGCCTGGCAACACGGATAAAAGATAATTTGATAAAAATAATAATGAGTTCGCCTCCCGGTGGCCAGTGGAGCTTTTAACTCTGGCATCAATTTCCCAACATCATCCTCTGGGATACAAGGAATGGGAGGACAAAAAACCAAACATAAAATAAAAAAAAAATATAATAGGGAGTGGGCGTGTACAAAACGCGTAGCTCGGCGATCTGATAAACCGCAGATATGGTAATAAAATAATTACGAGTTCGTGTTTGATTGGAGGAATTTTACAATAATTCCTCGCCCTCTCTTCTGGCCTAGGAAATAACCCGTAGAGCCTAAAAGGCGTGGATTGAGAGAAAAAAACATTACTTTTGCTGTAATTAAGGATCACTTAAACATCATTTTACATAGTTCCTTTCTTTTTCTTCCAGAGTAATTATATTTATAATTACTATAAAAAAAAAAAATCCTTTCTCCAAAATTAAATTTTGAATCTACTACCGACTCATCTAGATTTACCGAAACACCTTTGTTATTGCCCTTATGCAACAATAAGTTATAAATGCACGAAAAACAATTTTAAAATCACATCATATAATTGTAGATACACCCGCAATAATGTTCGAACAAGATGTAGTCATAAGTAACCTTTTCCGTTATGTGACCTGAATTCAGGCAGGCTTGCTATCGGAATGGGAAGAGCGCACAGGTGTATCCCTTTATACTCTATCGCAATATAGCGACATGGGCCTGCACGAGAGAAGGGGGTGAGGGAATGGAAGACTAGCTAGTGGAACAATATAGCGAAAAGGGAGGCGAATAAAAAGGGATGGAGAGATCTAAATCTGCCTTCGTCTGGGTACTTTCGAAAGTAGACAATAGGCGCCTGCAATGATTCCCCAACTGATTAAGGACTAATCTAAGGTTGGTTTAATAAACCCGGGTTTTCACTTTTGGGTCGGGATTATTCCGTTGATTGCAACTTTTGCCTCATCTGCTCCTGAGGAAAGGTCGTTCCGCCTTTATTAACGGCTGTAATGAGATAAGCCCTTCTCTCTCATTCAGGTCTCTCAGTCTCTGGCTCTCGATGAGGACTGCATTATTATCTCTGCCAGATTGCATTCTTCTCTGTTTCTCTCTCAGAAATACTTACAGATTTATGTTTTAATTTTTGTTTCCTTAATTATACAAGATAAAAAAAAATTGTTGTTCGAAAAATAGATTAACTGTTTTTTGTTCTCTTAATGAAAATAGTAGTTTTATTGTATTTACATAAAAAATACATACTGCAGTAGAAATAAGTGAAAAACAGCAGTAGATGGAACTAATTGAAACAAAAATGTTAGGTAACATGGTCTTAATTAATATACTAAAAAAAAATCAGTATGCTTTATGTTATCTATCAAAATTGCGCTTTTCTTTGTCATCATATAGAAAAAAGAACACCATAAATTAAAAAAGGAAATCATAAAAAGTCATGTTTGGTGTCAAATTAATTATATAACCAAATTATGTTTATTAATATATAATTTATATATAAACAAATATATATAATTTGATTCATATGTTAAAAAAAATGTCAAATTAAAGAAAAATAAAATATAATTTTATTTTATAAAGTTTAAAGTTAGAAATGTATAAAAACTTTTTTTTTGATTTATAAAATAAGGAACATATACTTGAAAGTTTAAATAAAACATCATTTCTGGTTCTTTCTACCGATTGATACCAGTGTATTTCTCAAGTAATTGTGGCTTCCTTGTATAATTTCGCTATGCCGACTGATTTAAATGAAAACTACGAATTTTGAGCTATTCGAGGATCTTAACGTTTTAATAGAATTTTATTCAGAATAATATATTTTTGTAGTCAATCTAAGGCATCGGAGGAGTAGGTGTGCCGTTTTTAAAACATCTAAAACAAGATTCTGGAAATTTAAGGGAGATCTCACATAATTAAATATATTTATTCCCACTACATTTCTACATCTACAGTGACTCCAATTATTGGTCTAAACTATTTTGGCTATTTCAAATATGGGGACAGCCGAAACGAACCTCGTAAGAAAACTAAAAACGTTTCAATAAAAAACTTTTAAGACTATAACTAAAGCTCTATTGTATGTCACAAATATTACTTTTCATCCAGACCTTCAACAAATGCCAACAGTTAACGACCACATACGGACACACTACAAAACATTTCAGGATAACTTATATGTACATACTAACATACTTATACAAAGTATGACTACACTTAACATGCCTGAAAACAGACTTAGGAGGCTCATATGAAGCTGAATGAGGTATTTCCTCGCTTAAAAATATAATAAAATCAAGAAAATAAAGGATGCCGCTGGGTACACCTCTCCCTCAAGCAGATCAAGCCACTACTTTTACTCTTACCGGCAGCAGACCCGCTAGCTAATTGTCATTACTTCTGACAGGTGTAGGTGAAGATAAAAATATATAAAAAAAAGAAAAAAAATGAATTGAACTATTTTATTTTATTCCTTGCTCCTTCTTTTTTATCGTGCTTTTTAAGGTTCTTTGCGCCTCTATAGCCTATCTAAATGAGTGGATAGGTTGAAAATTTGAATGGAAGTTGAGTCAGCAAAGTGTCTTCAGGGGACTAAAAGTTTTCTCTGATCTCTGATTTTATTTGGTATTATATATATATATATATATATATATATATATATATATATATATATATATATATATATATATATATATTATATAATTGTTATTGTTTCGGCGTCCTTTGGTAGAAAATCCGTAGATACAAAAGCTTGGGAGGATACATCAGGCAGATGAAGGAGGAACGGAAAGACTTGGAATAACGGACCGGGACTGTCTGGACAGAGAGGGGTATGGTAAGAGACTAAAGGAGATCACGGTTCTTGCTAAGAAAAAAAGTTCGAGAAAGGGAGTCGCGTGGACGGAGGAGAGAAAGCGGCGGCACTCAGAGTTCATGAGAGAGAAGTGGAAAGAAAGGAAAAACAAGAAAGAAGCCAAATTTCATGATATTCGCGTGGTCTCTATGGCTGTTCCGTGAAAAAAAAAATAAAATAAATAAATAAAAAATAAATAAAGGTAAATGTGTAACAACTCACATAATTATTTTGAATCAAACGGAGACAAAGCTTCATAACTCAGGAACATTTCTATTTACAGCTCAAAATAAATAATGTTGAAAAATCCGAAAAATATTTTTGTTTTCTTAATTCGCATAACGTTAAAATAAAAATACAACGTTTTCAAAGCTTAACTAGTTATGTAAATATATCCATAAAACATTCTCTACAAAATATATTTATAGTTAAGTATACTTATTAAAAATATTTCTTCCAACATTATTTGAGAAAGTTTATAAGAAAATCAGGTGAAAATTGAGGTTTCCACATGTTAGGTACATGAATCATAAAATCCTAGAATATGTTTCTTTATTATTATCCCTGAATTTAAATAATAGGGATATTTAGGTCGTGATGAAATAGTTACGTACCTACTTGTAGACCTAGGATACCAAGCCAGTCGACTTTTCTTAATCGATTTTAGTTTTCGAATTTCATTCATTCATGCATGTAGCTTATTTGTTATCAATTTTAATAGTTTTTAGATCAAATTATTGGGAGGCGAAAATATCGTTTCGCCTAATTCGCCTCGAAATTTTTATTGGGGGAGGGGAGGGGGAGAGGGACGATTGCCTCCATCGCCACCTCGTAGTATTCGACTATGTTGGTTGATATAAAATATGATAAAATTCATTTTGGTTATTTCTATTTTTTAAAAATAAATTTACTAAGCAAAATAAATCTATCTTTCTTTCTTTTTTCTTGTCAAATACTGAAATTTTACTATCATAGATACCTTTCTTATCTCTGAATAACATAAAAAAAAAATCTCATTTTCCTTAATTGATTACGACTGGGACCTTACCTTCGAAGGATACAGCCCTGAGATACTTGAGTAGCTCACTGCCCTTGGTAGGGGTCATCGTTTCGCACAGCCCCTTGGCCCCAGGGCAGAGGTCGCGGTGCATGTCCTGCAGGGCGACTGCCAGGGCCATCACCGCGTCCGAGACGAACTGCAGCTGCTTCTCGAAGGCCATGCCCTCCCTGCTCAGCGTCTCCTTGGTCGTGCAGCTCTTCGTGTACTTCTTGTTGTAAGGTGTGCGGGAGCTGTTGGGGTACCTGCACTGGAAGTGGTCTTCCCAGAACTCTGCAACATAATTTTGGCAATGTAGTCAAAGTCGCTAAAGTCATTATCTCGACACCCTTTAAATTTATCCTACGGTCCATAATCATTTATAGATTAAATATTCAGATATACTTTCAAACCTCTGTAGCCATATATGAGCCTCTCGGTTGACAGAATGACTATTTTCAACATTTTTTATTATTAATTTTAGTGATGTTTCTAGTGGCAAAATTTATACCTTAATTCACAATTCTATATTTCAACACTGTAATTACCTACTACGGAATCAACTTACTCACTGTCTTTATAGATAAATTTTTCAACTAGGAATATTACTAAAATGACATTACTAAAAAATGTTGAAATTGGAGTTAGTCATTCTGTCAACTGAAAGGCTCAGAGACTGAAGTTGTGTGGTTTATAAAAGTAGATGGAGTGACTAGATTTTTATTGCCTACCATCGATATTATAAATAGACTTTATGTAATTATAATGGTCGTAATGATTTGTTATATGTACGCTTTAGCACCGTTTAAAATGCACTTCATACATGTTATAATAGCCCAACATTGCCAGAAAATAATTTCTATTCCAAGTAGAGCGGTAAGTGAAAGTTGTGTGTTGTGCGCACCAGAATTTTATTTATCAGTAAAGGTTATTTTATATTTATTTATTCTATATATAATTATTTTTCTGTATAATTTATTTTTTTACTGTACATAAAGTGTGAATGTTATCTCAGAACACTATTATAAATATCCTTTGAGACAGATTGTGATATTTTAAATAACCAAGTTAAAAAAATATATATATATATATAAGGAAATAAATAAAATCTATTTTATATTTTAAAAGTTACTTTTTTTCAAATTAAAGGCAATAATACTTCCGATTTCCTCAAATTCTTTTAATTAAATTTGTTGTCTCTAACGTTTCGGGACAATTTTCCTATCATCAGAGCAATCTTTATCTTCACTGAAATTATGCACATTTTATATTATTTTTTTTTTAACTAAGGTAAATTATTTACCTTTCTTTTTTTGATGTGACACCATTTGTCAAAAAATCAAATATTTGTCACATTTTTTAAATATTTTTTGGTGTTACACATCTTTTCTTATTCATTGATACACTAACCAACATCTGGCTATCTTCAGTTTTATTTCTGTACTTTGTACCTGTCCTCTTATTTCTTATTATGGCTGTTCGTTGTATTTTTTTTTTTGACTATTGTTGTTTTTTGAATTTCAATATTGTATATTATGTCCGAATAGTGTGTACCTAAATGTTTTGTATCCGTTTTATAGTTTACTGTTCTATTTAAAAGTTACTAAAATGAAAATAAATATTTTCTAGTATCAACTATAAATATACATTACCTATATTAATATGAAATTGACATAGATTGACCCGGAAAAAAAAATGATAAGACAAAGAGAGCAAATAAGCCTACAATTATATGAACAAAATACATGGTAGTGAACTAAAATCAGTATCCAAATATCAATTTTGTGTCACAAAATTTGTTTTACCTCTCTGACGCAAAAGTGGCCGAGAGTTAGAAACCTCAGCTCATGTGTTGGGCAATTATCATAATAATTCTTTTCACCCGCCGGCACAATAATATAAATCATCGAATAGCCTAATTTCTTGAAATAAAGAAATATGTAGATAGATGTTTTCTCGAGGTTTATTTCCTGCATATGAATGGCTCAACTAGGTTCGTCGACATTCTAGCGTTCCTTGCGACAGAAAAAAGGGCACTAATAGTGGATACCAAGATCAGATTTGAAACGAACGATCAGGATAAGACTTCAAGGTACAAATAGAAAAGGAGGATAAGTATAAGAAATGTATCCCTTACTTAAAGGAATAGTATAGGGGTGAATTCGGCGAAAAAGAATTCTCAGTTAAAGGGCTGTGGTTTAGAAGTAGGGAAAGGATCCCACTTAATACAAGTAATTTCTTGCAGAGGCTCGGTGTTAGAAAGGAGCAGATGCAGACCAGAGCAGAAACTATTATTGTAGACTCGTTGGGAATCCTCCATCATAAAATACACTGATGGCATATTGCATATAGCTATTGCAGTGGCCCCACCTAACTCTCTCTCTTTTTTTTAAATATTATCTGTTGATATATCACATGCGGTTCTATGAGGGGGAGCTTTCGGGCTAAAGCACCTCGAAATAGTAAAATACAACCACGTCCTTTGAAAAAAATCATTTCTAGAAGTATTATTGTTCATGTAATAACATTTAATAGTACTTCAAGAATCACTTGAACACCATTTCATATAGGTAGTTAGTTTCTTCTAGTTCCAAAATAGTTATCGGTATATATTTAATAAAAAAATGGTTTCGGGCCACTAGCGGATCCAGGATTTAATTTGGAAGGGGGCTTCAACCCGAAAGCTTTTTTTTTTTCATATATATAACGATAATTAATTTTAAAAAAATAAACTAACTACCTATATGACATGGTAAGTGATTCTTGAAGTCCTATTAAAAGTAATTACACGAACAAGAATGTTTTAAGAGAAAAAAAAAAAAAACCTATACTACTACAACCCCTGAAGGGTCTTGGGTGCAGTACTATGTGAGGAAGTACTGTTACAAGACCAACGGTTGTTCAGGGAGGTGACGGGCCAATATCACGCTCAAACGCCAGGTTTTCCCCCTTAGTTATTTTTTTAAAAATTAAGGGTACGCACTTTATAGAGTCTGGGTGTGCCCCAAGAGGTTATCCCGATCCGATGGTCGATCAACAGCTAATGAAAAATTACTAGTCGTTAGCCGGATTCGAACCTAGGACCTTGAGCTCTGGAATTCAGTGGTCACCCACTGAGCTACCCCGCTCCTAATATTTTAAGAAATAGTTTTTAATATTTTTTCCATAAAACATGGTTAAATTTTACCATTGTGGAGTGGAGGGGGAAGGGAAACTTCAGCCCGAAAGCCCTTTTCCCCCGTGGATCCGCCTGTTTTGAGGGCTGAAGTCCTCCCCAAAATTAAATTCTGGATCCACTAGTGGTTGTAATGAATGATAGAGAATACAGAAAGAATGAAGTCAAGGACATAAAGAGTGTTGAGGTCATGATGTATTGTTTTGTTTGTAAAGTAATATTAAGTAATAATCTTTTTTCTTTGTTTTTGTTTAAACAATTTAATTGATTTTTGTCTGGATTTAGATATTAATTTTTTTATGCTAATTGTAGATTTTCGTAATATGAATATAAAAGTTTCTTTGTTGGCGTAAAATCTGTTAAAAATGCAAGCTTCAATGTTAACCTATTTCTCTGCTTTCACAGATAAACAATTCTAGGTCCGAATATTCGATATTTTGATAAATTTGCAAACTATCGATCCAATATTCTATAATCGTTAAACACATTTAAACTATTGAGCTTCGAAGAAAAATGAAACCTGTTTCTATTTTTTCTTTCTTTCTAGAAGTTTCGAGTTTTGATAGGTTTTTGCAATATTTTCGTTCATATTTTTTTTTGTTCCGAAACCATCCAATTTATATCAGATTGAGTTTAATCGGTCGTTTAGTGAGAGCACTATTTCTAGTTTACTTGCATATTAGAGAGCTAATCCGGGATCATTTGTTATTAGATCATCTGAATTGATGTCTATTAGTGTTTTCAATCTGGACTTGGTCTGATTAACCCCGTTTCTCTGGAATAATGTGATCATTACGGATTATTACGTATCACTGGACTTTCTAGACAAAAAAAATATATATAAAAGTTATGAATATTACATATGTTTGTACGATAATACAAAATATAAAAAAAAAATCGACTACAGAAATATCTCTACCCATCCCAAGGAATATTTTACATTCCTACTTTTACGTATTGGTAGATTGTTATAAAAATTTACCTCTACGGATATTTAAACTAGTGTAGTCAGATACCTTCCACCTTCGAACAGAATATAAGACTTTCCTTTGCCGACATGTACCAGTACTTAGGATGAAATCTACTAAGAAGCCGTAATATGTTTTATGCTGCACTCGTTTCATATATTGTAAATAAACTAAAAATATTATTATAGTCATAGGCGCAGAAAAATAAAGTGGTGGCGAGAATATCGTTTCATCCTCTTATTCTTCCCTCACCCTAATATTCCGAAAAAAAGTGAAAGTCAATAACAATTAAGCTGCATGAATGAAAGAAATATGCTAAAATCAATTAAGAAAAAAGGATAAAGTCGACTAGGTGGCTAAGCTTACGTCTAGATGTAGGTACGCAAATATTTTTACCCCACATATGTTCCTATTATTGAAAATTTAGTTCACATTCAAAGATACTTATATGTTGCGACATATCCTAGAATTTTATAATTCGTTTGCATCCTTCCATTACGTACAGATTTTTAACACATTTCCCGCGGAAAATTTGAATCTTGTGGAGAATTGATAGTTCATCTCACTGCCTCAAACCTTTCAATAAAAATATGTTATATTATTAACCTTTTTTTGTTAACATAATTTCAAATATACCAATACGAAAAAAATAATAATAATAAACATAAATATACATACAACAGCGGTCATAGAAATTAAATCACCCAGTAAAAATTTTATTTTATTTACTGGATTGCTGCTGCAAACTTTCTTTATTTAATTAGGTACTAAAAACTCGTAAATACCCACTTGCTTTCTACTTGGATCTTAACATAATTTGATAAAAAAATCGATGAAAAGGGTGACCATCAAAAATATGGTGCCTATATAACCTCGTTATTTTGACAATTTGGGAATGTAGTTCACGCCAAACGACTTAATATTTTTGAAGGCCACCTTTTTTTTTTTTCATTTTGTGATGAAATTATCTTACGATCCAAGTAAAAAGCAAATGGGTATTTACGAGTTTTTAGTACCTAATTAAATAGACAAAGTTTGCCCCCCTTTCAGATTGAAAAGCCCAAATTCCAAGAGTTTTCGTAAATAAAGTAGTTGTATTTTACGATGAGAAGAAACTATTTACGAAGTTCAGGCGGATGTTAATAATTCGTTAAAAAGGGGTCTGTAACAAGGACTAATACGTTTTTATACTGTGTCTTTCCATAGTCGAATGCATGTGGTACTTCAAAAATAGCTTCTGTATGCTTTATTCTCTAGCGACACTAAATATGGATATATACGTAAATATAGATAGTTACGTAAACAATAAAATGTTTTATAAACCTATACTGTACTTTTTAGCAGGTTTTGTTTTTATGTGTATTTATTACCTGTATCATGTATTTAAATTTAAAAGTTCTTAAAAATAAAATCGTTTCAATACACAGTCGCAGGGAAGTCTTTTCGCTTCAGCTTAAGTGTGTTGGAAGTTTCTGAATAAATTCTGAGGGTCTTAAGCGACTTATAGGCTCATGTATTTTCAAACTTCTTGTAAATGAAGACGATGAATATTCATGTCAAATATTTGACTCACAAGGAAAAAACAAAACAATAAACAACAGATAAATTTAATTGTCTTTCTTTATATTTTTTAGATTTTCGCCTAGTCATTTTAATAAGCTTCAATAATATTTATATATATAGTAATGATAGCCATATAGCCCATCTTTAATAAAAATAATACATTTCTAAACTCAACAACAGGTCTACCTTTAAAAAAAAAATGATTTAAACTGCACTTTGAGCTGGATAGGTGCAACCTCTTTGGTTCTGATTCGAATCCGGCTGAGGCAGCTGATTGTATTTTGTATTACATGAACTGTAAACCTCCAGTGGGCACATTCAGCCTCTATAATGTGGACAATCTTAATGGGAGAAGAAACCTGACGGTTTAGCACGATCCTTGGCATTAAATTATTTTAATATATTGCTAATGCTTAGTGATCCATATAAAAAATATCTTTCATTTAACCTCTTCTTCGTTCTTTGAAATTTAAGGAAAACGAAATTTCTTGGTAATTTATTATTTAATACATAATTTTAATGATTAGATCAGATGACAGAGAAAAATGAAATATTCTCCTTAAGAAATATTCAATTTAAATCATTTTCAGAATTAATAAATTATTATTATCATTCAAACTACAGTGTGAATGATATTCAGGAGCGGCGAAGCTCAATGACTCGGTTTCGAGACCGGTTGTGGGAGACAATTATTTATATTGTTGGATCAAAATCATGTTGGGAGATTTTCCTGGGGCACACTCAATATTGAATTACGAATTGGGTATCGTTAATTAATTAGTTGATTAATGAGAAAAAACTTAGTTGTTTAAGGAGAGAATGCTTGGTTAAATCATTATCAAAAAAATATTTACTTGGAAACAGTACTTCATTACAACTGAAGTCAAAACCCTTCATCATGAGTTGTAGTAGTAGAGGTTTTTAGTTGTTTTTTCTCTTCCCAACAAGTACGAAATGTTAGAGGTTACACGTGGGATGGTGTTCCAAGTTTATAAATAGCTGTGGTTGCTTCCCGTGGCTGCTGTTCGGTATTATTTTAAGCCATCCTCAAAATAAGTTTTTCCTTGTTAGGTCTTTTAAATTTATAACATATTAATAGTGATCCATGGTCTCAATAAATATATCATTACTCCAGTATCTGGAATATACATTATCAAAAAACTCTTCAGTTAAAAAAAAACAAACAATGCGGTTTTTAATTTTTATTTTATTATAGAATTCGACGTTTTGTCATAAAATGTTAAACAAAACGTCAGCTCATATTATAAAAAATATTAATTATTGTTTTTGTTTTTGGATGATCTCCACAATGCGCTAACGATTGACCCAGAGAGTACACTTAAAGACCGAATAACCTAAACTTAATACAACCATAAGAACATATGCGACCATTCAAGTTAATAAAATATTTCTAGCAAGCTGAAATTAATTTTAAAATCTTTAAAAACTGCGGTATGTGCTTTAGACCAGACGATAAAAGTGAAAACATCAACAAAGCGAGATTAATAATATCAAATATTAATTATAAATAATAGCTCATTACAGAGAGGATGAAATGCAGAACAATGCCATCGCTGACTGTATGCAGGTTCGATTTTTAGTTTCTGGGATATTTTAATCCATATCTTAAATAAAACTATCATTTGGTTTTCGATACTATTTTTTCTTTTTCACTTCCCTAACACGGAGTCGCTTTAAGATACAATTTTGAATAACTTCTCATCACAAAGAGGATGAAATAATGAACATTTCTCTCGCTAATAATACGCAGCTCCTATCTTTATTTTTTGAGATATGGAAATCCATGTGCAAAAACACTTCAATTAGTCGACTCAGAAGTACAAAACGTGACTAAACAAGTTTTCACTTAAAAAAATATTCGAGGAATATAATTAATCAAACAAAGGTTTACAAATTTGATTAAATTATCTAGAGCGCAAAAGAACATGAGAATAGTTAAAAAACGCTGCAAATGATTTCACAATGGTTTATTATCTCCAAACAATTATACATCTGAAGTAACATTACCTTCTGAGTTACAAAGAAAACAAAACAAAAGGTGATTCCAATTATTGGACTAAACTGTTTTTCTTTAATCATTAGTAATGTGCTAAAAAAAAATAGCATTATTTCAGTAACACATTTAAAATTTAAAAACTAAACCAAGGATATAACATTTGGAGTAGAACACATAAAAACAAACTAGAGACCATATCTTTGCTCCTAATTGTCCGATTTTAACTATTTTTTTTTATTTTTCTAGGAAATTTCATAAACTTTTAAAAAAGCAGCGAAGTTTCATTGAAATCTGTACATTCGTTTAGGAGCTACAGTCAATAGCAACGCAGGTTTTTCGGCCGCCATTTTGAAAGTTAAAGGCGGAGAGTAATGTCGATGAAGGAGGATCATCCTCGGGTGACCTCTGATTTTATATCAAAATTTGAAAAAAATCGGTCCAGTAGCTACGGAGAAAATGCGCGGACAGCTGACGGCGGACGGCGGACGGACAAAAAAAAATTTATTCGTTTTTCGAATTCTACGCATCTTGAAACGTGAAACCTCAAATTTTGAGAGGGGGTTATGTTTTTGAATTTTTTGGTCGATCACAATGTTTCATTATTGAAAATAATTAACCAAAAAAGATCAATCAAATAAGTAATATAATTTAATTTAATATATTATTTATAATTGATGGATTTTAAATAGGCATATGATAGTATAACTAGGGAAGAGTTACTGAAGGCAATGATAAAATTGAGGATCCCTTAAAAAACTGGTCACTATGACCAGAATGGCCCTAAGCGGTAGCAAGTCCCAACTTAAGTAGTTGACGAATGGCCTGTTGTCGGAGGATTTCGAGGTAAAAGATGGGGCTCAAGCAAGGTGATCCTTTATCCCCTACTCTATTTAATATTGCTTTAGAGTACGCAATAAGGGCGATCCGGGCATGTCCTGGTGGCACAATTTATAATAGTGCCTATCTAGCTTATGCTGATGATGTAATAACGGCAAGAAATAAAACAGCATTAGCAGAGCTACTTAAAGAATTTGATACACCAGCAAAAGAGCTAATACTACAAATAAATGAGAAGAAGAGTTTACATGCGAACTGGAAGGACGACCAATGGAACAGGGGAATGTGCCACAATAGATAATCACAGCGGTAGAAATGTTCAAGTAATTACAGAAAATAATGAAATGATGGAAGATTGAAAGTGAGAATGAGACTGCTAGGAATAGTTGCTGTTTTTCTTTGAAAAAATTGCTAAATTATATCTCACTCTCTCGTAGAACAAAAATAGACAGTGTACGAGAAAGTCCCATACATAAGACCCATCGTCACCTATGGCTGCCGGCGATATTACTATCTAGCACAGAGACAGCTCTACGGCAGGCGGAGGAGCTTTTCAAAACCCACTTTTCAATACACTTATTCCTCTTACTCACTTAGTGTGAGATAGCAAACATATTAAAAACCTATTACTAGACTGAATTGATATTTACAGGACACTAGTGAGTCTCGGCACTAGACTAAGACACACTTTAACTAGGAATATCTACAGTATTCCCAATTATCCATCCCAATTCTACAAGAGTTCATGTTTAAGCCTTGTACTACCACTCTGTTCTCAACACCACATCATATGGGGTTATGAAAAAAAAAACATATACTCCACTTACTCACAAACCTATGTTATGGTAAACATACATTAAAAACCTATTACTAGACTGAGTAAATTTTCATTTATGGGACACTAGTGAGCCCCATCACTGGACTAAAACTTACCACCATACTTATGAATAACCACAGTACTCCCATCTCTCTCTTAAAATGTAGTTTCTGCTGTAAAAGAGGTCCCATATTTAATCATCGGCCTACCCCCTGTTCTCAACACTTCATCCTATGGGACAACCAACCATTGACCAGCACATACGTACACTCTACTCCCGATTTCATCTTAAACTACACGGACATCACAATGGACTTATCAACGACTTGGCCACGACTGAAATGTTCATCAGGAGGCGACTGAAAAGGAGATAGATGAGAGATCTCCTTTTCTGATTTTAGGATGTAAACAGGCCAGAGAAGAGGTGCTGCTGGGTTCCATTCGTCGTCATGCCTATCATGCCATTTTCTACCTAACATCAAATCTGCTAATTGTCACTACCATGACAGTTGCGGATGAAGAATTGAAGAAAATAATTTTTTTTTAATAATTATTATTTATGTAAAACCGTGTCATTCTATGAGTGATCATTATTTTTAATGGAATCAATAAACATCTAAGATAGATTTAAATTTTATGCATAAATCATACTTGATTTTTAAATTAAAAATCAAATATAATAATTATTACATGAGTTTGTTGAAAAAATAATTATCGATTTCAAACTCTGATTCTAATTATTTTTTTATCGTTCAATATACGTATTAAACATTCGTTGTTAATTATTTAAAATTATAAAAACATGCTATGTTCGTTGGCCTAGTTATCGTGACCTAATTCGTTCCTTTACGTCCTATGAGCTGGATTTTATGCATCGGTCTACTGGACTAATATTCGCGGCGAGAACAAGCCTACACGGAAACTGATTAACATAGTTCGCTGTTGTTCTGTGCAGTTGATAGGCCGTCTGCCCTACTTCCACTCCTCAACTCTATTTGCTTTAGTTGCTTCTTCTGTTGTTTCCAGGCCGGGTAACTTCAAACCATTCGGAGGCAAATGTAATTGTGATTGTTAATGTTGGAATCAGTTTACTCCAGTTTGTTATCTCTCAAGTATGCCTATTATCTTAATGATGTATTGAAAAATATTTCTTCTTGTTACCTGAGATATTCGATACCTGAGATACGAAAGAAATTTAAGAACTTTTGCGAAGTTTATAGCCTAACGATGCCAATTGTCATGAGTAATGGAGTATTTTTCTTTCAATATTAACTTGAGAGTCTTGTATACTTTTTAACCTAAAACCAACTTTATCCCTTCAACATCGTTAACTTTCGATTACTTCCTTGAAATACATGATTGCTCGTTATATTTAATAATTTGACAACTGTTCTAAAGTAATGATGCTCGAAGTTATACTGGTTTTGTTGAATATCGAAGTTTATTTTGCCATTTGCAAAATGTTTATATTGTTACAGCGTTTTGAAATCGATAATTATTTTTCCACAAAATCATGTAATAATTATTATATTTAATTTTTCATTAAAAAATCAAGCATGATTTATAAATAACAATTTAAATCGATCATTGATTTTTATTGATTTGATTAAAAATAATGATCACTCGCTGAGTGATACAGTTTTACATAAATATTAATGATTAAGTTGTGGTAAAAAAAATTTGATCAGAAAATATAAATCACATTTTACACACAAATTAAATAAGCTATTAATATGTATACGTCATTAGTGTGCACATTTTTAAATATTGTAGATCTGAAATCGCTTTAATGGTGTATTTCAAGTAGTATTTATGGGAGGAGAAAACTTATGGCATAGCCTTCAATAACTTTAGTTTAGCGACTCAAAACTCGATAATAGATTTAAATATTAATTAGCCCTATTAAAGCAGAAATTAATATAGAAGCAAAGAAGAGTGGTATGTGAAAGTTGTGTGATGCGCGTTATAGGGATTGGATATGTAAATAAATAAATAAGGTGTGTGCTTTAGAACCACTCAAAAGAAGTGAAAACAACGACAAGGCGAGATAAATAATATGAAATATAAATTATAAATAATAGCTCATTAAAAAGAGGATGGAATGCTGAACATTTTCCTTCCTTACAGTATGCAGGTCCGTTTTTAGGTTCTGAAACATTTTAATCCATATCTTCGATAAACCTCGTTATATTTTAGTATTCGACACTATATTTCCCCATTTTATCTCTAACACTGCGTCGCGTTAAGATACAATTTTGAATAATAGCTCATTACAAAAGGGATGATATGATAAACATTTCCCTCGCTTGCAATATGTAGGCAGGTCCGATTTTTGGTTTTTGAGATATTTTAACCATATGCAAAAACACTTCAATTAGTCGGATCCAGCCGACTTTACCCAAGCGTTACACATTGGAGATCTGACGGCTCAATATAATTCTCCACAAAAAAGCGCAAAACGCGCCCAAAGAAGTTCCACATAAAAAATAAAATGTGGTCTGTCTTTGAGTTGTTTACATTTACTATTATACCAGATAATTTAAGTACATTTAATGTACTTTATTCATCAAAATAGGAAATGAGTTTACAATAACATACCGATTGCCGAAGGTGGTCATTTATATTATGGGTATATAATCAGATTGATCTAGGTCAGAGTACTAACGCATGAAGGGGAAAGACCAATAATGAACTGCTCATAGAAACTGGTCAGTCAATATCTTATGATTTTAGTTAATAGTTCCTTTCCTCCTCCCGCTTCCCCTCGGTGCCAAGAGGAGCTATTAACTCTGGCATTAATCCCTCTCCCTCAACTCCTAGTCCGGGAAACCCCCGCATAGCCGAGGCGAGGAAGGACAGAACAAAAAAAAAAAAGTAGAAAAATTCTTTATATTTGAAAGCAGTTAACTATAGAAAAGTTGCACAAATTAGCAGATATGGAAAAGGCTAGTTATGAAGGCAACAAATATACAAAGTGTGTAATGCCACTTGAAGAGAATATACATATATATATATATATATATATATATATATATATATATATATATATATATATACAAAACATATGAATTATATAACACTAAATTATGTAACATAATGGATAGGCAAGTGTAAGAATACTTTAGAAGTACTGCAATGATAAAAATTATCTAAGGATAGCTCAAGTTGTCCGTTCTACTGTTATGAATCGTATATCAAATAGTAGAGGACTGTACGGTGTGAAGACTTGATTTACGATGAACTGGCAATATATCTGATTGAAATATTAGCGGGGAATTAGTGCGCTCTGGCGGCCTATCAATGATCTATGTTGCCACGACATCTATGTTCCTCCACTCCTACCTCATCTACTAACTCATGTACTTAACGTACCATACAATGACTGCACTAAATCAGTGATGACACAATGATAATGCTGAGATCATTTCGTTTGCTAGTATGTCTCATCGCATTACTGAAGTTGCTAGGGTATCATCATACTTTTCCGAAAAAGAAAACAAAAAACTAAAGGCTATTAATTGGTAGGGTTATCTTAGTGAGTAGGAAATTGGGCTCCTAAGGCGAATTTTTATTTTATTATTTTTCGTTCATTTAGAAATTCGATCTCTATTATTACTTTTTTTTATCTCAATAAATCTATCTATTAATGATTTGAAAATTTTTATAATCGTCTATATAGCTAATTAAAAAAATAAATTGAATTGTGTGCTTTAGACCAAACGATAGAAGTGGAAACACTAACAAGACGAGATAAGTAATATGAAATATAAAATATAAATAGTAACTCATTATAAAGAAGATGAAATGCTAAACATTTCTCTCGCTTTCAGTATGCATGTCCTCTTTTTAATTTTTAAGATATTTTAATCCATAGGCAAAACCACTTCAATTAGTCGACTCAAGCCGACTTTATACATCGGGGAAACGGCTCAATCAAATTCAGTCTTAACAAAAAAAAAAAAAAAAAAAAAAAAAGAGAATCCAAATGCAGCCAAAGAAGTTTTCACTAAAAAAAAATATTAAATAAATATTTTTAAACGACCTAATCTTAGCGAAAAAATGTTTCCTATTTAGTTGTTCCTACTTTTGAATTTATAACTTTTTGAATATAATTAATCATTAGGCAATACTTTTCAAATTAATTTTTTTATATTTAAGACCAATGCGACAATTTAATCTCTCTTTATCTTTTTAAAACTAAAATTAAGAGCGAAATAGAACCTCAGTGACGGATGTCTGTTACTTAGGCTTTTTATTGAATGGGAAATAAATGTATACTAACTAAATTGAAAGATATTTAAAGTAAATCAAAGATATATATATATATATATATATATATATATAACACAGAATTGTCATAATTTATAGTAATTGTCTTAAGTTTGTAATTATAATTAAATTAGTATATTTATATTTTATTAACTTTAAAAAAATAATTGTTACTATAAGTAAGGAGGTAAGGGAAAGTTGTGTCAAACATTGTACCAGATTGTTTTATTCTTGTATGAGAATTATGTTTTTGGTTAGAAAATATACGAATATAACTAATTCATTTTTAATTTTCAGGTAAGGCAGTTAGACTACTTCAAGCATTTAGTAAGTTTAATTTAATCATAATTTGTTTTCAGTTAATTTTACTTTAAAAATTTCTGAGTCACGATCAATT